CCAGGATCTTTTCCACGATGACAGCAACACCAGGAGGATGTGGAAAGGCATTCAGATGATCACAGACTACAACACCCCCCCAGATAGATGCAACAAACACTGACTTCCTAAATTAACTAAACAACTTCTTTGGAAGGTTTGAGGCACTAAACAGCACTCCAGCAGTGAAAGCTAGTCCACACCAGGGGGAGGAGACACCTAACCTGGATGTGACTCACTTTTGCTACATCTGTATTATTATGCTCAATTAACCTATTATCTTTGTTGTAATGGATTTGTATATTATGTCATATTAAATGATTTATAGACTCCATAGACTTCATAAAGAGTATGCAATGCGCTTATTTTTGTGTATTATTAGTAACAGTAATCTACTGATGCTATGAAACGGCAAGTGTGTCAAAGTGATGAATTTATCTTTATTTTAAAAGTCTTAAGCCTCCCTGAAAATGAGAAAACCATAATTGTTTGATGCTGTATAGAAGTACTGTTTAAATTGCGACAGGTATACCTAGGTAGTACCAGAATGGCAGGCCAACGGGCAATCAGCAATCCAGTGAATAAATAGAAATCAATGATGGAGCTCCAGTCCGAGGGAGACTGACAGTCATGTTTAGCTACTTCCATTTTCTAATGATTTCTCCAACAGTGGACTTTTTTTTTTCATTTCTTTTTTTTTTACCAAGCTGTTTGGTAAAAACAACATCAAACAAGTGCATCTAATTTAGGATCATTAATGGAGTGGAGGTGGACATGTTGAAGGCAGACTAACAGGTCTTTGAGGGTCAGAAGTCTAGCTGATAGACAGGTGTTCAAATACTTATTTGCAGCTGTGTCATACAAATAAATAGTTTAAAAAAAAATCCAATATTGTGTTTTCTGGATTTTTTTTTTTTAAAGGTTTTTTCTCTCTTATTGTCGACATTAATCTACAATGACAATTTCAGACCCCTCCATAATTTCTAAGTGGGAGAACTTGCAAAATAGAGTATTCAGATACTTATTTTCCTCATTGTAATTGTGCAGGTGGTCGCTCAACATGAGTCAGCTACTGTCAGAAGTAAAGACTGGCTTGATTTGGTATAGAGGGGAGGTATAACACACCTATGAGGCAAAGTTCATCCATTCATGGGTTTTCTAGCTTAGCATAGCAGTCAGAAAATGCAGAAGCAATTGATTAAAAAACAAACAAAAAAAACATTCCAAAACTTACCATTCCGGTCTGAGGAATTACGTAAATGTTGTTGGCCAAATACTGAAATTTAAATTTGCACAGCAGATCTGCAAGTTCCTTCTCCTTGTAGGAGCTGTGCTGGTGCATTGGAAGGTTTGTTATCAACAGCAGAGTGGAGTCAAGAATGCAAGCCTGAAAGAAAAATAAAAATATTAACCTGCAAGAAAGCATGAAATGAAACTAAAGAGCCTTTTATTAATCATGAGAAGGCAACGCCTGAAGCTAGTTGTAATCTTTAGAGATGCTTTAAAACCCAGGATAACAGTCTCTGTTGATTATTACTAGTAAACAGACACAATTGAAGACCCTTCGCTTTTACACAACAAATTACATATATAAAGTCTACTGGATGATTTTTTTCAGAGGGCAATCTACTAGCCATGAGTGAAGAAATTGAGAAAAGAATAAAATCTTACTTGAGATGACAGGATGCTTGTTGCAGGGACACAATCTACGCAAGTTGGTGCAAAGACAAAATGTTAAGGTCTAAAACAACTGTCCATTATTTCAGAAAATATTAAGTCTTCTTACCAAAGCTTGTTATATTCAGGTAATTTGCTATCCTTTCACCAACAGTCAATGAATCAAAGTGGTTTGGAGTCTCAGGTTTTTTACAGTTCGTACTGATTATGGGAGAGCTGGCCTTGCTCACCAACACTGGTATGGTACACACGGGGTTTAGTGGCTGGTTTTTCTGGGTCTGAGACATACCAGCATCTTCAGAGGAAGAAAAACAAAACACTGATGACATCAACAACAAAAACAAATAAATGTAATTTTTTTTGTGGTGATTTAATCTAGAAAAAAATACATAGATCTGCATGTTTTGGGGGGTTTTTTCCCTTTAAAATCTTTTGAGGAAGGGGTATCCAAGACGTGCATCCCCAAGGTCATGGGGGTACCAGCAACATAATTATATATCAAAATGGATCAACTGATTTTGTGTTAAGCAATTTCAATCAAGGACCGACTCAAATCCTGTTCTTGAGGCTGAGAATTGATTTTTTTTCCTCAGTAAAAACTAGGTACCTTAAAAAAGCCAAACTTTGATTTTAGATTGATAAATTATTCTAGCTACAAAAACAAAAACAAAAAATCCACTTGAAATCTCCAACTCTAAACTTAAAAAATTGAAGACTTAAAAAGGCAACTACCGGTATTCCTTTTTTGCATACTGTCTTCCAATGTTCTTTTTAAAGAATTCTTGTCTATTACTTTACTTTAAAATGTGCATCCACCTTTCAGGGATGCCATATCTCAGGTACATTGGTAATCTTTTACAAAGATGCTAGACCACAAAGAGTCAATATTAAATTTAAGTACTCAAATGTGACTGATTAAGTTAAATATATGTCTTTCTTCTGCTAGAAAATATAGTATTTAGAATTTATATAGATAAGTCATCTCCAACATACCTGTTAGAGCCATATTTTTCTCCTGCCATCCAATTTCCTGCAGCGCCACCACAGATGCATCAACAGAGCTTCCTGAAGACTTTATTTGTTCTTGCAGCTGTTTCCCATTTGTGGAGTTTAGATCTGCAAAGTCTGGGTTTGTGACAGTTTTTGCTTGGACCTGTGACCCAGCTTTGACAGAGGTTCTTGGAGTTGGTACCGTCATCTGTTGAGTCTGAGTTGAATCAATCAGCTTATCAGGAATGGTCACTCGTTGGGCACCATCACCGGAAGAAGCATTGGTGCCAGTAGCTTCATTTGTCTTGGTCTCAAGAACAGGTATACTGGTGGGCACGTCCGCTGCAATATTTCCAGACTGTGCCTTATAATTTTTTTTTATTTCTTTTACATTAGGTTCTGTCTGCTTGCTTATTTCAACTGCTAGATCGTTTGCCTTCACCGTGTGAACATTATCTTCCATAATGACGGAAGGCCCTTCCACCTTTATTTTAGAGTTCGCCTTTTCTAAACTTCCATATCCCTCAGGAAGGTTTTCTTGCAATGTCAACTCCAATGATGCATTAATGATCTGAGATGAAGTTTCTTCTTTTTCTTTGCTGCTTAATGACTGACTTCCATGTGTGTTGCATCTGTGTTGCATCCCAGATTTTGAAGTCTCAGACTCATCCAGGCAGGTTTCAGTCACTGGCAATGTGGATGCAGATGTTTTTGAAACACGGACAGTTGATTCTGGGAGCCTTTCCTTGCCTATGTTTTCATCAGATACTGGTTTTTCTAATATTTCGTCAAAATCAAGATTCTTTTCAGGACTTTTGGACTTCTGGCTAAGTGGATTTGGACCCGTTCTTGGCCCGATGTGAGGTAGTGCTTTGACTGAGATGTCCTGAGTTTTGACAATCAATTCTTTGGCTGGAGGTGTATCAGATGTGGCCTTCACTTTACTGTCCAGTGGCTTCGTCTCTTTGTGTCCAGACTGTGAAGTATTTGATATAGGCCATTGGTCTCCCCAAGAATCTTCTATTTTTATTTGCTTAGCTACCTCAGAACACCTGAAAGTTTTATCCAGATTTTTAGGTAGAACAGTTTTTGAACCATTCATCTTTGCTTTTGTTAGAATTTTCTTATTTGATATAGTAACCGTTTTCTGTAACTGCTTTCCAACCTTGGTAGTACCTTTAACCACAACCTGAGAGTCTTTAATTTCTTTGAAAGTCTTCTTTCTGGTTGTTGATTGAAGACTTTTGGACTTCTTGGAATCTGATACTTTTCCTGGTTGGACTTTTGGTGAGGCTTTAACAAATGTTTCTTCCATTTTGATGACGGTCTCTTCAATTTGAGGTTGATGCGAGGTCATCACAAGTTTACTATTGAACAGTGGCTTAGTCTCTTTTGGATCCGGCTGAGTAGAATTTGATACATGCCATTTTTCACCCAAAGAATCTTCAACTTTAGACCTTGAATGTCCAGAATATTTTTCTGCAGATGGGTTTGAAGCATTGGCCTTTACTTTTTTGACAAGTCTCTTTCCATTCTTTGATTCAACAACAATAATCCTTGCTACCCCTTTCACCCTGGGCTTTTCTCTAACTGTAGCTTCCAAATCTTGATTTTTTCTGGAAACTAGTCTCGGTTTATGGTTTGATTGTCCAGTGTGAGGCAACTTTTCTTGAATTCTGTTCTTCCCAGATGGCTGTAAGGGTTCTGTTTTAAATACAACTGACTTCAAAGTCTGTTTTTCTACAGAGTAGGCTTTGGACCTGAAGGTAGTTTTACCTTTGTAAGACAATTGTTTTGCTTTTCTCACAAGTTTTTGATGAAGTGATAAAAGTTTTTTAATTGGAAGATTATCCAGATTCTCGCAAAAACCAAGTTCTTTGGTAGCACCGGATTTCCTGTTGGAGAAACAAAAGTCATCAAGAAAGCAGAAAAACAAAGGATTTTGTTTCTTGTTTTCTTATCCGTGCACCGAATTTAGAAATTATATTATGGTGATGTAACTAATCCCACAGCTCCCCCTACAAAAAAAAAAAAAAAACAATATGAAGTTCATTACACACAAAGAGGCAATCACAACCACATTTGGGAAACTTTAAAACAATTTACCAGAACATATCAACCAAAGTGTGTGATCTAAAGTAACTATTTTAATATGAGAAACCAAGAACAAGTGAAACTTGGCAAATTTAAGAGCCCCCTACAATATTTCTGTGAAAAGCTTAGAACCCGTTTTTGTAACTTTTAATGCCTCTTCTTCAAAATTAGTTTAAAATATTTTAGAAAATATTATAGATTCTCAAAAGTTTCAAATGCAAGGTAAGTGGAATAAAAAGATGGGTGTTTGCAGACCAGGAATAAGACAGTGGTTTTCTCAATCAGAGTTTTCAAGTTAACTGTAACCAAGTCTGTGTCCAAAAGTCCACCCTAATGCTGGTGAAGATTCTCAGTCATCCAGGTTATAGTCATCCTAAAAAAGTCACACAAAAAAAACAATCCACTGGACTTTGTTTCCAAGTCTGAAGATGCGTTGCTTCCCATCCAGGAAATGTTTTCAATTCAAAATGTCAGAAATAGCATTGCATTTGAGGCTTTATAGAATGGACCAAAACCAAAGACTTGTTTTGGCTTGGAAAATATGCATATTGAACAGGACCAATGGTTCCACCCCTTAGGAATGGGGGCTGTTTGAGTTCATTTTATAGCCTGTAATACCCGATACTGGTCTATGTCTCTGAAAGGGGTCGTTACAGGGAACTGTTGGCGTGGCTGAACAGGCAAGGTGTTTTGGTGCACTCTATGGTGTTGGGGGGTTGCATTGTAGAATTTTGAAAAGCGGAAATCTGTTTAGGGTTGGTTTTATTTCTTAACATAGATGGCTTCATTCACGCCCCTCTCAAACCACCTTTCTTCTTTGTCCAAAATGTATATAGGGAGCCATCTTTGTTAAGAATGCATTAAGGGATAATCCTCGCCAAGCATCATGGGATTTGTGGTCACAGCGACCCGATCTGTCCTGGAACCAAGATCCGTATGCATCCGGGTCACCATCGATTTTAACCATATGATATATAGTGAAAAGGAAAGATATATTCTATTATGCACCGTGGGGTTGAGAGGACTGCAATTTCATCTGTGTTGTATGTTTACCATGTAGCACATTTAACAATAAAGTTGAGTTGAGTTTGAAATAACTAAAAAAAAAAGAAACATGTAAACCATGTTTATCTTATATTTTGCCAGACTACTCTGAGCATGTCCGATGTTGACTTCAGATAAGCTGTTTAACTGAGAAAATGTAAAAAGCATTGAATCGTCTCAGAAGTCATAACATTTTTTTAAAGATTTGTATTAGAATTCTTTAGTGATTTAAGGAATGAAATAAGTACTTTTAGTACCATGATTACATTTTTGTGGCGACTTGGATAAATATCTGCTTCAACATGCGTAAATGAGCCGATGTTAAAGATTGTGCTTCCAGTACAGATTGGTAGTGACAGGCTGTCGCTACCTGACAGTAACCGGTCAGTTAACTAAATTCACTATAAAGTCCACAGTATAGTCCCCACTCTATACTGTGATTTAGGGATTTAGGGGTTAGGGCGGACGTTTGGACACAGCCCCAGTGTTACTGAATACTTCAACACTATGTGAAGTGAAGAGAAGAAAAAAATTTTAAGATTTTATCTGTATGATACAAAAAAAGCAACTTACATTTTACAATGTTTTTTCAGCGTTTCTGTAGTTTTGTAGAGGACCTTCTTTGAAGTGACATCCTGGATAAAAAAAAAACATTGTAAAGTAAATGGTTCGGATTAGTGATGATTTTTTTTTTTAACATTTTTACAAAGCATAAAATTGTTGTATGTAAATATACAAACAAATGCACTGAATTACAGCGCAAGTTTTTTTTCCCTTCCTTCTCTAGCAAATACAGTGGTGTCAAAGTTGTTCAAGGTCAGTGTCCTGCTATATCTGAAAGTTTGCCTGAAACAAAGCACATTGCCCTCTTACCCCTCTTTGTATTCTTTGTTTCATCATAAATAAAAGCCTTTCTAGTCAAAGCTATACTTCCTACCAGCTCTTTTCTGCTGTGGCATGAGGAACCGCCCACCTCTATCATCTGCCAGTTATACAGATCTAGTCCACTTTTGACAGAAGATGAAACGAAACATATGACTTTCAAAAATAACCAAAGGAGCCAACTGGAAGCCAATCACAGGTTGAGTGAAATGGATCCAGTAATTTTTAACATACAAGCTTTTATTTTCATTTTATGTATTGTAGAATTTCATTGTCCTTGTCCTTTTTTCTGGAAAAGGACACTGAAATTCTACAATAAATCTTCATCTTAATCAAGAATTCATTCTCTCCATGTGTGCTAATACACTTTTTTCCTTAATTGCTGCTAATTCTAAACAAGTTGTGCAAAGGTGGCATCAGTTTTTGTTTATTATCACAACAGCTGAACCTCTCTCCATCACTTCATGATGCTGAATCTATTTTATCAATTTTATACGGATAACTTATTCAGAGAAGGACTTTAAGCACAACTCCTTTTCATGGTAACCAGCATTTTTTTTTTTGGTTGTGATACTAGACTGAAATTAGGTTTGCTCAATTTTTAAAACGAGAAAATAAAGTAAAGGAGGTGTTTGTGGATCGGGAAGTCGGGGCATCTCTGCTTAGACTGCTGCCACGCGACCCGGCCCGTGATAAAGCAGAAGAAAATGGATGGATGGAAAATGGAGTAATAATCTGAGATAATAGAAACAGGCAAAACCAAATCTCTGCTCCTTAAGTTTAAAAGATCTACATTACAGCTAACATTTTAGCAGTCTAGTAGGGCTTCGAAGTTTGTTTTTTCCCCCCAGCGTTTTATTGTCATTACACTCTCACAAGCATGCTCAACGAAATTCACCCTCTCTTTTAAACAATCCCCTTAAATTAGCAGTGGGCTGCCGTATGCGGCGCCCGGGAGCAGTGTGGGGCTAAGAGTCTTTGATCAGGGACCTTGAGTGGTAGTGGGTTTCGAACTCACAACCTCAGAATTCGAGGCTCTATGGTCTAACCCAGGGGTGGGCAATTCCAGTTCCTGGGGGCCGATATCCTGCAACTTTTAGATCCATCCTTGGTCCAACACACCTGATTCAAATAGCTGTTACCTTCTCAGTATGCAGTCAGTTCCTCCAGAGTCCTCTCAATCTATTTATTTGATTCACATTTGTTGAACCAAAGGCACATCTAAAAGTTGCAGGATACCGGCCCTAAGGAACTGGAATTGCCGACCCCTGCTCTAACCACTAAGCCACCACTCCCCACTGCAAAACCTAGAAACAAGGTTTCTGGGTTTTGCAATATACCGTAGAAACTGAAAGTTAAACGCAAAATGCATACCAACCTTGGGTCTTATAGAAGATTTTGCCTGTTTAGAAGAAGATGACGAAGTGCTTCTACTAGACAATTTTTTTAGAACTTTTCTGACTTTTTTGTCCTGTGAGGGTAATGAAGACTTCGTTGACGAATCCTCGTTTTCGGCTAGTTTTGCCAGTAAGGCAGGAACCACCAAATTTACAACTTCTTCAATGTTGGACTGTCTTGACAACGATTGGACAGCTAAAAGATAATAAATAGGAGTAAATTATTAGCACAACATACAGACATTCCACAAAATAAAAAGTTACTGACACATACAGTGAGGAAAATAAGTATTTGAACACCCTGCCATTTTGCAAGTTCTCCCACTTAGAAATCATAGAGGGGTCTGAAATTGTCATCGTAGGTGCATTTCTACTCTGAGAGACATAATCTAAAAAAAAAAAAATCCAGAAATCACAATATATGATTTTTAAAGTAATTGTATTATGAAACTCAAAGACCTGTTAGTCTGCCTTCAAAATGTCCAGCGCCACTCCATTAGTTATCTTTAATTAGATGCACCTGTTTGAGGTCATTAGCGGCATAAAGACACCTGTCCACCCCATTCAATGAGTCAGAATCCAACTACTTACATTGCCAAGACCAAAGAGCTGTCCCAAGACACTACAGACTAAATTGTACACCTCCACAAGGATGGAAAAGGCTACGGGGAAATCGCCAAGCAGCTTGGTGGAAAAAAAGGTCCACTGTTGGAGCAATCATTAGAAAATGGAAGAAGCCAAACTTGACGGTCACTCTTCCTCTGACTGGGGCTCCATGCAAGGACACACCTCGTGGGGTATCAATAATCCTGAAAAAGGTGATAAATCAGCCAAGAACTACACAAGAGGAGCTGGTCAATGGCCTGAAAAGAGCTTGGACCACTGTTTCCAAGGTTACTGTAATACACTAAGACTTCATGGTTTGAAATCATGAAATCAAGAAAATTGTTGAGTACCATCCAAAGAGCACCATTCCTACTGTGAAGCATGGGGTGGTAGCATCATGCTTTGGGGGTGCTTTTCTGTACATAGGACAGGGCAACTGCACTGTATTAAGGAGAGGATGACCGGGGCCATGTATTGCAAGGTTTTGTGGAACAACCTCCCCCCCTTAGTTAGAGCAATGAAGATAGGTGGAGGCTGGGTCTGCCAACATGACAATGACCCAAAGCAAACAACCAGGATAAACAAGGAGGGGCTCTCTAAGAAGCATGTCAAGGTTATCACTTGGTCTAGCCAGTCTCCAGACCTAAACCCAGTAGAGACTCTTTAGAGGGAGCTAAAACTCGATGTTTCTCAGTGATAGCCCAGAAACCTGACTGATCTAGAGAAGATCTGTGTGGAGGAGTGGGCCAAAATCCCTCCTGCAGTGTGTGCAAACCCGATGAAAAACTAATGGAAATGTTTGACCTCTGGAATGGCAAACAAAGGCTACTGTACCAAATATCAACATTGATTTTCTCAGGTGTTCAAATATTCATTTTCCTCACTGTATGTAATGTTTAGAGAAAAAAAAAGACATTCAGAAAATTTCCCAGATCAAACCTGAATCATCCAGCAGCTGCTTTTTCAGAATCTGAATACTGCCAGACTTCTTTTTCTGAGAATATAGTTCTTCTTCAAGGGATGCACTTCTTTTGCGCTTTCTAATAACCAATGAAATTTCTTCATCTCCCTTCTTAGGCAATGATTGTTCCTCATCTCGTCTTGGTAATGATTGTGGTCTGTGGTTCTTTTGTGGCATCCCCTGTTTGTCATCAGTCTTGGGAGATCTCCATCTCTCACAGCTTCTTGTGGGCGACAACTGTTTGTCATCATTTGCTCTTGGTGGTGAACATCTCTTATCAGAACCATTTCTTGGAGATGACAGTCTTTTACATTTTGTTGTTGGTGACCATCTTTTACTACAATACTTTTGTGGGACAGACAGACTCATGAGGCTATTTATTGGTGACAAC